TTTAAAGCACATTAGAACATATACATAAAAGCTCATTTTTTATGTAAATTTTATTTTCTCTCCCTAACTTTAAGTATAATTTATTTTCATATCATTTAATATTGTAAACTCATCATTATTTTTCACATCTTAAGTGCAGGCTCTTTTTTATTAAGCGACTAAAATGACATTTGTAGCGAGCTTTAAGCCAGTTAATCCAAGTCAGTTGACTATAGGCACCAAGTTATGAGAAATCCTGCAAGCTTAATTGCTCCAGTCAAATAGGCTTCGAAAAAGAACATAAGATATTGAGTTTTTTACTACCGGGGATAAACTTGAGCCGAAGTCTAATAAATAAGGTCAATTCATATTCAAAATCACCTTACTAACATATGATTGACATCCCAAATCTCACACACGCAGTAGAGTCTCACTAACAATATCATAGTGTGTGCAGTGCAGATGATACATGATGAAACATATACTCAAATTCAATACTCCATATTAAATCTAACCAAGTAATGAAAATAATAGTATAGATTAGATGAATGCATACTCAATTCCAAATGCATGATTTAAGAACATCAAGAGATGTCCAGTAGCACAAAAACCCAATAATTTATTATTTTATTTATTTTATCTATTTAAAAAATTAAGAACTTATAAAAGCACAAACACAAAAAAAATTCAAAACAAAACAAAAACAAATAAGATGCGTGCAAGAATAAATGGACTCGGGGAACTGCACATGCATGCACTTAAGTACCTAATCAATAAGATACATGGATGTTCTTACCTTTAAGAGCATGATCAGTCTCACGACCTTTCAGGTCACTCTTCTTAACCCAAACCTTCTTAGAAGTAGAAGTAGAAGTGATTCTAGCTAACTGAGTCATCATCTCAGTTAAGTGGCTAACCTGATTGGCGAGGAAGTTAACCTTGCTCGAGATATCATGAATTTTACTTCTAGTCGCAAGTTTATGACACCTAGGTCTTGTGTGTCACAGTGCACCACAATGGTGACAGGTGGGAATAAATCTAGGCTCAAACCTACTTGGAGGTTGTTATCGATTTATAGGACGATTGATCCTACGTTGTCTAGTATGCATCATCCTAAAATATTCTTGCCATTGGGTTTAGAATTAACAGTATTCCTAATTTTGTTAGTGGTTGGGACAAACGTGGTCTTGGAAGTACTAGCAGCAGTATTACCATTTAGAACGTATCCTAGACCGTGCCTATTTTCAGTGGACTTGTTCATTCCTAACAGATTATCGAGTTTCTAAGTACCACTCATGAATGAATAAAGTTGAGTGTTTGATTTTTCTAGATCACCTGTTGAGGATTTAACTTTAACTTCTAGGTTCTCATTAACAAGTTTCAACTCACCCAAATTTTTGGCAGAATCTTGAAGGTCATCTAAATGTTTCTCTCTCGCTTTCAAGTTCATTAATATTTTTTA